TACAATATAATTTATTAATATAATGGCATATACAACATTATAGTTAACTAAAACCATAAAAATAAATAAATATTTAGTTGAAATAAAATAAGTGTTAACTGAAATAATATAATATACTATAAAAATCTTAAATATATTTTTTCAGCAAGTTACTAAGGCAATATTTCTTATTTTATTTAATTTAGCTCAATGTATGAAAATAGATAAAGCTGAAGAAAAAAAATTATAAAACTAGTGCTGTGCAAAAAATCGAATGCGATTTTCATGGTCATCTCGTCAGTAAAGGCGCTCCTGTGATTAGTAGTAAATCTCCAGCACATGCTTTCAGATGGAGCGGCATTTACTACACAGACCCGTAGTTCACTGACAAGCTACACAAAAATCGCAGGCAATTCATTGCCATTGTCATTAATATTTATCTAATAAATTATCCATTCGATACATTTTATGAAAAGATTCCAGTAAGACAAAAATAAATAAATACATGAATAAATAAAATAAAATTCTAATAAAAATTTACAATACAATTCACATCATGTTCCTTTAGCTGTAGTGATCAGCACTGAACACCACCAAGCAGCAGGGAGGGTTAAACTGAGCCTGGGCCTCTGTCTCAGATGTTCAACCACAGATAAAACTGGTGCAGTTTACTTATTCTGGGTGTGCATTAGAAACAATACTCACTCTCACTCTCTCTCTCTCTCTCACACACACACACACACACACACACACACAAACACAATGAAGGCCACAGCAGGAGAAACAGGCTTTTCTAACAACTGTTTATCCTCTGCTTTCTGTATTATTCACACCCATCATTTAAAGACAATAAACAGATACCAAATTAGTACGGGCTGTGTTACTACAACAAGGCATAAATCACACGACACCATCCAGACTGAGCTACTGAGAAAGAGCCAAGGCTTTCCTAACGTCCAACACAGTGGTTAAAGTTCAAAATGGTCCACTCTAATGAGTGCACTCCTGAGTTATTTGTCTCTCTGTCTGAGTTGTCGTTCAGGGCCAGTCATGATGTAATATGAGAAAATCTGCCCAATGAAATCACCCAGCAAAAAAGGAACAGAAGAGTAATTGGAACAAACAGAGGAACTATATAATTAAGCAATAAGGTACAAGGCTGTGCAGTATTGTGAAAATACATTACATTATATTATTATAAATTTTATACATTTAGATCATTATCTATAGTAATGTACTACATTTAGACGCAAATTACTTAATAGTAGGGGTGCACGATAAATCGAAATGGAATCGAGATAGTGATTCGACAGAAGCTGCGATTGCCATGTGTATCTTTCAGTGAAGCACGGTTCTGTGATCAGCAGTAAATCTCCATCCAAAGGCCAGAGGGCGCTCTTGCTCTCGTATATATTTATAATGCAATGCCTTTATCACTGCTTAAATACTATGAAATATGTTGCGTGCCTTATTCTGTGTAAGAAGCCACATCATCTCACAGAAGGATTTATTTCAAACACTCGACTGACGTTATGAAGTGAGTTTGGAGTAAAAATATGTTATTAAATGTGGTATTTTCACATGCTTTCAGATGGTGCAGTATTTACTTCACAGAGCCGTAGTTCACTGAGAAGCTATGCAAACAGCTGTCATTATCGCGAACGATTTCTTCGATTTCAGAATCGCGCAATAAAATCGTCTGCGTTTTTTTTTGCGTAACTTGTCAGTGAACTACGGATATGTGTAGTAAATTCTGCTCCATCTGAAAGCACGTGATGATGATTTCCTGCTGATTACAGAACCGGCTTTACGAACAAAATGCGCATGACAATCGCATTCGATTAATCGTGCAGCCCTACTTAATAGCTTTAAGTGTTTCAATGTAAAAAAATAAAAAATAAATAGATATATGATATCATCCAAATTTATTATATAAATCATACAATAAAACGGAACAAACACAAATACAAAATATACCAAAAATAATAAATAATTAATACATATTAACTATTTTCTTTTAATTTACCAAAAATACAAATAATAAGCAAAACTAATACACACACACACATATATATATATAAGCAAACATTTATTTTAGAATTTATTTGGGAATTGCAGCATAAATATTATTAACATTAATATTTAATAATGTTATAAAACGTTAATATTATTATCAACATTTCTTTGGATTGAATAAGGATTTTGCCTTTTAGATTTTTTTAAACTATATATATTCATATTATATTATTTTTTTTAAAATAAGTGACATATATAATCAAAACATCATTAACAGATTGTTTTTATTACACTAATTCACACTAAAGTATCACTATTACACTAAATCACACCAATTATAATCCCATAAATAAATAACAAACAAATAAATATTGTTATTGAAAAAAAATATACTAGTATTTAATGGTTCTGCCTATGATTTCTAACTATGATTTAGGTAACTTAAATGACTAAATGGCTTTAAGAATGTTTAAAAAAATATTTACCAATAATAGGCTAAATGAACCAGAACAGGAACAAACAGCTCTATAAAAGCCTGTCAATCACCAATGATGCATCTGTAATTATTCATTCTTGTGGTTTCAATAATTGTAGATAAATTACTACTAGACAGATTTTTCCGTTTTTCTTGAGCTTTGGAGAAGAGACGCCTTTAACGTTTAAAACCAGGTGAGGAGTTAATGGCCAGCACACCAGAACATTTTAAACAAACTAACATGTTTGTTTTGCCATTCTGATCCCTTTCAAACATTAGCCAAACAAACTAGTGTGCCTTTACATTATGTAAATCACAATCTTTCATACATCACATCTGTTCCTTATCTGGAACAGTCATCTTAACTGACAGGTTTTGAGCAATATATATATATATATATATATATATATATATAAGAAAACAAACTTTGTCTGTATCTCGCATCTCAGCCAGGTTTAGC